AGTATCTTTTACAGAGTCCACAAAGCATTAGGTCTCCTTCACCTTGGGAGAAGTGCAGGTCTTGGCTTTGCACTGTGTGTGTGTTTTGAGTAGATGCAGATTATGATACAGATTTGTGATTTTGATATGTAATACACAAATACGGTTCAGTCAAAGTTACAAATTTTCAGTCTGATTTCATTTCTCTGATCAGATGGAGGTTTATTGTTCTGATTTCCATGCTGAGAGGGCAGCAAGAGAGAAGATCCATGAGGAGAAGGAGCAGTTGGCTGTCCAGCTGGCATACCTACTAAAAGAGCAGCAAAACTTTGAAGACCTTGGCCGGTGAGAACAGACTTTGGCTGAACTGCCTTTGCACTGTCCTGTTACTCTGTGTGCTGGTGTTGACCAGCATTGTCTTTGTAAGCATCCCAGTAGAAAGGCAAGTAACTTTGCAGACATTTCTTGCTTAATTTGAATTTAAAAGGAGAAAAAAAAAAGGATTGGCTGACTTCTCAATTTTTTGGTAGAATGTCTGTAAAGTGTGTTAGTTCTTAGTTGGGTGCCTTAGTAAGTTTTCATTTTGAATGATTGCATGCTTGGTAAATTCTCTCTGTTGATCCATGTGAGTTTCTTTGGGTTTTGGCCTCAGTTTTAGCTGTGAATCTGCAGCTAATGTTCCTGCATGCGTGCCAGGGATATCGGCTGCTTCTCCAGGAGGCAGTAGTGAGTACACAGTTCTGAGTACTGTGGTAGTTGAATCAAGTTGCATTTCACATTAACTGCACACTGAGTCCTTTTTATGGTATAACTTGCTTTTCTACTTAAAGCAAATCTGCAGTTTTCCCTGAACAGCTGAGAGTCCTTGGAGTTTTCCAGAGAAGGGTGCCCTAGATCCCTAGGTGTGTGTGCCTGCCCAAATCCTGCTGCTGGCGTCAGTTGCATGACCCTGATTTCAGCAGACCTCTGGCATGGTCTCACAAAGCAGTGGCATTTCTAGGCCCTGTTCCTGAGCAGCAGTTGTGAACTAAATGCATGACCAGTTGACAGGAGTCTGTTTTCAGAGCTCTTGACCTGTTTATTACCCACAGAACCTCTCTGGCAGAGATGCAGAGTCGCCACGGAGCCAGGATGCCGGATCAGGAGCACTCACCTCACCTTGTCCAAAGAGGTACTGCAGGCACCTTCTGCAGCCCTCGGGGTCAGGTTCAGCTTAAAGCAGCTTTGCTTTGCTGCAGGCAGCTTCCCTGTGGGTATCCCTCTGCAGAGAGCAAAACTGGGTGATACAATAGTTCATCATTTATCTTCTCTGCTTGCAGGAACGAATAGTCAAGACTGGCCAGAGCAGCGGAATATTTCTATTTATTCATGTCCTAAATGCGAAGAAATTCTACCTGATTTGGACACACTGCAGATTCATGTTATGGACTGCATTAATTGAGTGATGCCCTCCAGTTCTTTGTCTTCTGGAATTTCACCTGCCAAATACTTGGGGGTTTTTTCCTTCTTGCTCAAATAATGCTCAGCTCTTATGTCCTATGAAGGAGGTTTTCAGGAGTTTGCTTTGCTAATTCAGTGGGAAAAGGGTAAAACCTCTTCCCGTGTCCTGTAGTGACTAATCTTGTTGTAATCTGCTTTAGGGAAGGAGTTTTCATAGATTAACAACATGGATGTGCTACAGAACTTGCAGTGTGTCTGCTGCTATGAAACCTTTCAGGAACATTCCCCTGAAGTGCTCTGCTCCATGGCTACTCTGCAGAACAGGGCTGAATCACTGAAGTCAGAGGAGAGATGAGATATTTGCTGATCAATATATATATATATATATATATATATATATATATATATATATATATGTCAAATATATGTAAGCCTGTAAATACTTCATCTCTTACATACTATATAGAAAGTAATACACGAAAAAAGCTGTTTGGGAAGCTTTCAACAAAATGGAATAGTGCTGTATTCATTGAGAATTTGAAGTGAACCCTGATCTTTCTCCAGATGGCCATTTCATTGCTGCCCTTGTGACCATACTAATCTGATGTTAAATTTTTGATGGCTTATGTAACTCCTTGCTTTAGCCAGATGTGGGTAAGGTTTAAAATAGATCAGCTAGGTCTGATACATGTAGCTCCTGCTGTACTCAAGTCACTTGATTTTATAGAACTGTTAATTTTTATGATGTTGTCTTAATTTTTCTTTATTATAATACAAGCATTTGAACTTGTACAGTATTGTGGTAGAAAGCACTGAGATGGATGTAACCTAATTTAAAAAGAGTATAGTGGATTTTCACCTATCAAAATAAATCTATTATGATTATGAATTTATCTGTGCCTGTGAGTACGTGGGAGACTGGAACAGGATTTCAAATTCCTATGTCTGAAAAGCTTGTGTAGAAACAACTGTAGTGGATTAGTTCTATTCTTGTCCTCCCAGGTGTTTTTATCTCAACAAAAAGGAGAAAATCCCTTTTTTGTCATTGTAATTCAAATAAGATTTTTACTTTGCTTGTTGTCACTTTTGTTTTAATTATCACTTTTAGACTCTGGATTCTTATTTTCTGTTTTAGCTCATCTATAGCTTCATCCATAATTTTAGGTAACACAAGAGCTGACTGTTGTGAGTAGGTTTTTATCAGCCTTGTTGCAACCTTCTTCATCAATTACAAGTAGTCCCAGCAGATGCAGTCTCTTACTGGCTTTTAAGTGGTTCCTTTTGACAGTAGGATTTATATGTTTTTTTACCCCAAATCCAGTTTTATCATGGGAGCTGTGATGGTTACAGATTCTGCAATGATCAAAATCTGATGGAAATGCTACTAGGCCAGAAGCAAACTAACAGAATAATAGAGCTGATTTCATCTGAGAAGTATTAACCTTAATGAAAACACAGAAAATCAATTTGAAAGGAGGAAGAAGGAATAACTTATGCATTTGTCAAATCAAAATGAATAATCTGAGGAGGTTTCAGAGAGGGGATGTTAGCACAGGAGTGCTAAGAGGAAAACATGGGCATTAGGTGAAATAGGTCTTCACAGAAAAAGAGCAGGTCTAATAGTACAAATCAGGAGGGGCAAGGAACTGCAAAGACTAAAGCCACAATACACTGAAACCTGTTCATGTTACTGGGAAGATTATTTTTTGCTGTCATTACTTGCTGCAGTCCAGCAATGAGCTTGTACATCCTCAGGACTCATTTCACAGAATTACAGTTCTACCAAAGAAAAACTGACCAAACTACAAAATTTTGTCCACTGTATGTGACAATAACAAGGATTGAATTTGGTGGTGTAAAAGAATTGTTGACATTGTTTAGGTTCTCCAGATGAGAATGGCACCTTCTGTGACCCCTCCTGAGGCCACTCTGCCCAGACACGGGCAAATCTGCAGCCAAATGGGCTTACCCAGAGCCTGGATCAGGAATAATGTCCTCCAGCAGGAGCAGGGCTGTCATTCTTCCCTCTGTTGTGGACATTGGTGTGGCCACAACTCGAATCCTGTGCCCGGTTCAGCTCAGGAAGGGCCTTGAGGTGCTGGAGAGTGTCCAGAGAAGGGCAGTGGAGCTGGGGAAGGGGCTGGAGCACAAGGCTGAGGAGGAGCAGCTGAGGGGGCTCAGCCTGGAGAAAATGAGGCTCAGGAGGGACCTGTTCACTCTCTGCGCCTCCCTGACAGCAGGGTGTAGCCAGGTGGGGTCGGGTTCCTCTTCCAGGTAACAGGATAAGAGGACATGGCCTCAAGCTGCACCAGGGGAGGTTTAGGTTGGACAGTGGGAGCAATATCTTCACAGAAAGGATGGTTCCACATTGGAGTGACCGTCCCTGCAAATGTTTAAGGAAAGTCCGGACGTGGCAGAGAGTGCCGTGATCTATTTGACAGGTGGTGATCTGTTACAGGATGGACTCGATAGGACTTTTCCAATCCCATCGATTCTGTGATCCCCACGCCGCCATCTCCCCCCCTCAGCGAGTGCCCGCCCCTTCCCCTCCGCCCGCCCACAGCCAAGATGGCGCCGGCAGCGCCGCTGTTGCCAGCACTAAACATGACGTGAGCGCGCATGCGCGGGAAGGGGCGGGGCCGCTCCGAATTCTGGCGGGTACTGGAGGCGCGCGCGGCGGTGAGCGGGGTGTGTGAGGGGAGCGGGAGAGCGGGGGGAGCGGCGCGATCCCGGGCACACGGAACGACCCCGAGGCACACGGAGCCTTCCCGGGGCACACGGAGCCTTCCCGGGGTACGGAGGGTCGGGGAGCCTCGGAGGAGGGAGCCCCGCAGGAGGTCGGGGTTCTCCTGGGTGAGGGAGGCGGCCGAGCGAGAGGGGATCTGTGAGGGAAAAAGCGCGGGGTGCGCGGTGGTCACCGGCCTTCCCTGCCCGTGCGGGTTAAGCAGTGTTGCTGAAAATGAATATTTTGGAACCAGAGTAAACTATCAAAAGTGGGCGAAACAAAAGATTGTATAGCAGGAAGATCTGTAAGCACAGTTGGAGTTAGGGTTTTTGACTCATTTGGCCTCAGTGGATATCCCATCTTTCTTGTCTAAGCTTCCCTGGCCCATTCGTGTCCGGCCGTGCTGATTTATTTTTTCACGGACCTATGGAGAAGCTGTGAGAAAAGCAGAATGTGCACTTTTGAGAATAACAACTGTTAGACTTTAATAACTATAGTTAAATGCTAGTTGTAATTATGGTGTACTCAGTGTAATCAGGTGAGGTAGAATTGGTTATTACTGTGAGAATGTAGTAGGTATTTCTTAAATTCTTTGTCTGTAGTGGCCTTTTTTTATAAAAATACTGTCCTTACACTGCAGCGGGTTAAACATGGGTCAGAGTTTTGATGTAGAAAATGTATGTGAGGGTTTTAAATTGAGTGGAGTTCTCATCTGTGGCTCTAAACAAAACCAAGCTGGAAGATTGCAAGTTGTCAAACAAGGACCCTGAACACAATAACAATATATATTTCTATATAAGTTATATGTACTTTAACAGTATCACTTTTGTTCTTCCTGTAACAGAATATTTTTGCCTTGAGGAGCTCTTGAAGAAATCCTGCTGAAACTATGGACGGTAAGGGAGAAAATTCTGTTCCGTTATCAGCCTGTTAGCTAGTAAGTTCAAGTATTCAGAAAACCTGGTGAGGCTTTTAGCAAAGGAATTTACACTCCCCTGAGTTTATTTGCTGAGTCCTTTGAGGTTGCCTCTTGCTTTCTTTATTGTCACTTTCCTGTGAGGCTGCTGTTTGCCTTCCCTGGTTTGGTGTTTTCCTCAGCAGCAAAGGCTAAATCAGTTTCTTGGCTTGCTCAGATTTTCATTTCTGCTCTGTCACATTCCTCTCTCTGTACTTATCTCTTCTCCATATTTGTCCCTATTTCTTTGTTCTCCTCGTTTTTCCAGGAGCACACTGTATCCTATGAGATGCTTTGTTGCCTGCCTTGCACATCCCTCTTCCCTTTCCTTTGGCAAAAGCCACATGAGTGTGTCTGTTGGCTACATGTTTACAGGTTCCAGGCTTTTCTGTGTAACAGCAGCTGCTGTTCGAGGAACTGCAGAGGAGGAAAAGCCAGTGCTGAGTAGCTGGCAAGTTTTCTGCTGATTGCCAGCCTGTGCCACGAGCTGAGAGCATCTGCAACTACATTTCCATCTGGCCTCACAGCCAGAAGCTGCTCTAGATGCCTTTAGTTAAACCTGAAATGTATATTTTTTAAAATGCTACTTGCTGCTCTGATTTAGTTTCAGTTGTCATTAGCTTGTAATCAAGGTGTCTTGGATGTTTATTCCTTAGCAGCTTTTCTTTAACTCGACAGAAATAACTCTGAGTTTGATTTTTGCCTTAGCTGATGATGACTTGGATCTGCTGGCTTCTCTTCTGGAAGAAAATGAAGCAACTGAGGAGGGGAATTCTCCTGAGGAGGAAGATGCTCCAGAGGATGAAGATGGAGAACCAGATGAGTACGATGAGCTCTTTGATGCAGAAGATGATGCGTCCTACACTGAGGAGGCTGATGCTGAGGACAGCACTATTGATGAGCAGAAGGAGAACTTGGCTACCCTGTTTGGAGATGTAGAGGACCTGGTGGAAGAGGAGGAGGCAGAGAAAGCTGTCCCCACTTCAGCTCCCAGTCAAGCCAAGGAGAAAACCAATGAAGAACTGCAAGGTTTCTGCAACAGCATCTTTGATCTGTTTTCTTTGATATATTCTGTCTCTAGAGAGCTAGAGGGCAGGAGACATGGCCTGCCCCTTCTTGATGATGGCTGGAGAGGAAATACTGAAAGGCCTTGTGAAAGTTTCTAAGTTCAGTTTTCAGGATCCAGTGGCCAAACTCACCAAACCTGTTTTCCCAAAAGAAAGACAGAGGATTTAAGTAAGCCAGGGAGACTAACAGAGCTGTGCTGAGTAGCATAGGGAAGGTTGCCTGTGTACCTGTGCCTTGTCTGATGAAGAGCAATGTTGCCTCAGTCTTCAGGGCATCACATATCATCCTGGCATCTTTCACCAGCACACCAGTCCCTTCCCCCCCAGGATTATTGACAGGAGGTTCTGCCCCAGCAGTGTGGAAGCAGAGCTGGCCACAGCTTTCCTGTGTCCAGGCTGTGTATTTGATTATAGAAGGAAGTACTTCTTAATGCTAAGGAGTGCAATCATCAGCCATTTAAATTGTCTCAACATGGGAACACCACAATTAAGTAAAATATTTTTATGAGAGGACCCAGCTCCAGGCTGTATAGAAAAGTTTGCCTTCACTATGTAGAATCAAGTAAATCTGCACTGAGACTCAAGTCTTCATTTAAGTTTCCATGATGCAGTAAAACTGCCAGATTTCCAGGGATCTCATAAATCCCTGTGTGCAATGGCTTCCTGCTGTCTTCATTATTATCCTTTTTCTTCTCCTTTCTTTCCTAGCTGAGCTGAGAAAATTACAAGAACAGATGAAGACGTTACAGGAGCAGTTGCAGAAGACTGCACTTGGGCAAGAATCCAGTTCAGGCCCTGAGAAGAAAACCCCTGGTAATGAAACTAATTAAATGGATTTATGATTTATTGGCTTACCCATGTGAGTTTATAGGCAGGACTTAAAATAATCCTGAAGCAAGCACTAAGTAGCAAGGAGGAGTGGTGATCTGGTGTGTTCCCACACAGGTTGTTTCTTACAGCTACAGATGAAATCAGTTTTGGTCTCTGGATCATGGGTTAATTCTACATTGGACAGGTTTCATGACAAAGTGCTCCAGACTCTTCTGGAGGTGTCTCTTCTTACTGGCAGATGTTGGTACACCCAGTATATGCAGCTGTGTTTGTTGCTAGAGTGTGCTAGATGTAGTAATGAACCTTCATGGAAAGACTGCAAAACAGGGAATGTTTCTACTTTCCACAGCTCTGAGGTTGCAGTGACATCCAAAGTCTTAAGTTGTCATGGGGAAGAGTCTTTGTCACTTTTTCAGCTGTTGCATTTCAGCTGACAACTTGGCTGAAAGGTTTCCATGTGGGGCACTGACTTGGACTTGTTTTTCAGGAATTACACATTTTGGAGCAGTGCTTAGAGCCTGAGTCCAGATTGCAAGGTCTCATAGTTTTTTGTTCCCTTGGCCAGGTAAATCTCCCTGTCCACCCTTAAAGGAAAGGAAAGTTCAGAAGCTGCAAGAGTCACCATGCTTCTCAGCCCAGCTGGGCAATCCTTTACCACCAGCCAAGCAAGGAAGGCAGAAATCAAAAGCATCCTCAGCAGGTACCATTCCCAGTCTACCTTTTACTAAAGCCACTGAGCTGCTGTTGAAAGCTTGTATTTCCCAGCAGTGGTGTGGACACATCCAGGACAGTGTTACACTACTCACTGCACCAGGAGTGATCTGGTCACAGTGGCAGAGAGCTTGTTAATTAATTATTAAATTAATTATTGTATTCTTTGTAATGGGAGCTCTTCCTTTTTTCTTCTGCTAAAGAGAACAAGATTCCTCCTCCACGGCAAGTCCTCAGTCTGGCGTTCCAGCCTCTCAAGTCTGCCGCAGGGAACACCCCCAGTAAGGTGACCAGGGAGAAGACTCCTCATGTGCCTGCATGCTCCAGCACAGCCACACAGCCAGTGTCTGTGGAAACCTTCTCAGGACTGAGACTAAGGTCAGCAGCCCAGCTCTGAGCCCTGTCTGGGGCTATCCCCTCCAGTAAAGGCAAAGAAAACAAAATGTATGTAGGTGGTTTAACCATGTCAGATTAGTCACTTATCATGAAGGGATGTATCACAAAGCCACAGCACTGGCTGGTTGATCAGTAATCATGTAACAGTGACTTTTGGCTCAGTAGCATGTTTCTGTTTTCACCTCTGCTCTTTTCTAACAGAAAAGCTCTAATTTCATTAGCACTGCCTTCCCTGGGATATCCTCAGTGGCAGAGCAGGAAAGCAGTGGCCATGTGCAAAGCCCAGCTGAGCTCCAGTTGAGCCAGGTTTTGCTGCACATGGAAGCCTCAGGAGCCACTCACCATCCCTGTACCCAGTGTGGCCACAAGAGGACTCTGAATCCTCATAGTGTCCTCACCAGAACGAGCTGTATTCCCAGCTCAGTCAGCCATTCTTGGTTAGTCTGAAATGAGCTGAGTTAATGTAGGCTTGGGGCTGAGTAGCTTTCTAATATGGGGGGTTTTATTTCACGTGACCTCAGGGTGAAGCAAGGCACAGAGGTGTTTTGCAGGAAGATGTAGTCTCCCCAGGGAAGTGCTGGTTCTTTTTGGTTGTCCATTTGTGCCAATGGATGTGTTGTCTTTTACCTGCTTTTACTGGATCTAGAAAACCCCGGGTGTCTTCAGCTGAAATGGACAGGAAAATGGCTAACAGGAAGCTCATCCGACTGTCTCAGCTGAAGAACAAACTTGCTACTGAAAATCTGGAGGAAATAGACTGGGTAACGTTTGGAGTCATAGTGAAGAAGGTCACTCCTCAGAGTGCAAATAATGTAAGTAACATCACTGTATCCCTTGCTCAGTTCAAGTGAAATGCTGGTGGTCTTTCCTGAGAAACTTCCTTAGATCTTCAACTTAATCAGCCAACTTCATGAAGTGTGGGGGTCCCAGTTGTGGGTTTCTCTGGGTCTGGATTGAAGGCACTTGAGATGGCAGTTCATGTTGGGACTCAGCTCTTTATTATTTCTTATCAGTAAAAGTCTCACTACTGTGAGTTCAGCAGCTTTTCATTAGAAGGCACAAAATGGCCAACAATCTCTTGTTCCAAGGTCTTTTAAGATTAAACTATCCAATTAAGAACTGGCACCCAGATTATTTTCCCTTTTAACCCAATAACTGATCCCAAACAGCTGCAGTGCTGACTTTCCTGCCCAAACTGCCACCCAAAATGCCACCCAAACCCATGAAGAAGGAAGAAGAAGCATGAGGAAGAAACCTAGGACAACACCCTGTGCCCTCCATCTTGCTTCTATCTACAACATACTAAAAATCCCAAAACCTAAATTTCTCATCAAGTGATACACCTACACTGCTCTCTATAATCTATTTCACACTTTTGTGGGTTCTAGTCTTGAAGTCTAGGAAACTTTCTCCATGGATGAGGGTCAAAGTCAGTGCTCCCCTGAGGGTCAGGGCACCCCAGAGCAGACAGAGGAATATTCCTGGTGCCCTGGGTTTCCACACTGTAGTTAATAGAAAACTTCTGTAGTAAAGATCTGGGCTTGTCTGGTTTCATCCAGTGTTGTTTGTGTCCTGTAGAAAGTCACTGATGAAACAGATCTGGATATGCCATGGTTTTGCATGTTCAGTGGGGTAGAAACCTCTTTATTCAGCAAACAAGTGTGCTGCCCAGCTTTGATATCAGAAAGGTTGGTAGGGCAGTAGCAGAATTATTTGCTGTTTTGGCCTTTAGGAGCCCCAGAACTGGCATCGTGGATGGCTGGAGATACTGTACCTAAGCCCTACTGTGATTGCAAATTGTGCTTTTCTAAATCATGAAAACCTTGGGAGGGGGAACGTCAGAGTAGCTCTTGAAAAGAAACAGCCAGTGGGGAGGCAGTCAGTGTGTGCAGCAAAGCTGAGAGGAAAGGGGGTGTCTGTTCCAGGGCAGGACCTTCAGCATCTGGCGGCTGAACGACCTGCGGAACCTCAACGAGTGCGTCTCGCTCTTCCTCTTCGGTGAAGTCCACAAGGAGCACTGGAAGACTGACCAAGGCACAGTCATTGGCCTGCTCAATGCCAACCCCATGAAACCTAAAGAAGGCTCAGACGAGGTGAGAGGGTTTTTCATTCAGCTGTAGATAAAAACCTATACTGAACCTTTTCATATTTGGCTGAGATTTCATTTTATAGTACATCTTCATGTTTAAATTGCAGCAGTCTGCCCAACAGTTTGAATTGCATTCAGGCAGTTGCATGGTGTGTATCTGCTCCTGGCCTCCTGGGAGACTGATCTTTAAGAACTCATATTAAACACTTAAACCCAGAGTTTATACCAGTTTTTAATCTGCTCTCAGTTGCAGTTGGCTCTTCCACAAATATAGAGTGTGTATTTTCATTTCAGTTTATTCAACTATTTCAGTGTAACACCTATTTCAGCCTAGAGGTCTCTCAAAGCTGAAAAAGGTGGAGAAATACATTTCTCTCTTCTAATTGAAGCATGAGATATGACTTCAAAATGTTTCTGGTTCAAAAATTGCAACAGAGAGGCAGCAATATTTGATTTATTAAACAAACCATGTATTATGTAAATATATGTCAGCTGATACATAGTAGTTCACTTGTTTAATTGATTATTTATAAATGCAGAACATGCAGAACATTTAAGATGGCTTCATTTTGCTAATAAATTAATATATTTTTAATTGCACTGGAATGGAACCCATTTCCAGTTACTTCTGTCAAGGGGGATTTCAGACTAGTAGCTGATCATGTAGTGTTCTGCGTGTTAAATTCTCCAAATAGAAAAATTAAGGCTCTCATTAATTGTCTTTTAAGCTATATAATTGCTTAAATTAGCATGAATAAGCAGTAGATAGTCCCGTTGGTGAGCAGAAAGGCACACCAGATTTGATAGGAGGGCTGCATTTAACTGTCAAGAATGGCTCCTCCTAGCTGAAATGTTCACATTTATTACTACATTAAAACTGACTTCTGAAATTGTTCCTTGGTTACAGACACAGTCCCTGGTGTATTTGGGGGTGTGAAGCAGACAATTCTTGCACAGGACTCAGTTTTGATTGGACCAAGACATTTGGAGAAGGACAGAGAGCCCTGGTACAGGTCTTCCTCCCATCCCTTGCTGGATGTGGAGGTTAATGATGGTATCAGAGCCAAGGAGCTGTACAGGACCATTTACTGCAAATTAGAATTGCTTTAGCTGTTGTTTGGTTTCCTGAGGCTCTGAGCATAGAACTCAAATGTCTTTCATTTGGCTTTCTTAAGCTAGGCCTATATTTTAAGACTACATTGTTAGTACCAGAGGTACTGAACCAGATCAGAGACAAACCAGTGACATCTAGAAAGAGGTCTGACCAGGAGTGTTCTGTTTTCTGTCTAGGTGTGTTTGTCCATTGACCATCCCCAGAAGATCCTCCTCATGGGAGAAGCTCTGGATTTGGGCACCTGCAAAGCCAGGAAGAAGAATGGTGATCCTTGTGCACAGATTGTGAACCTGGTCTGTATCTCAGTAATCAGGGCATTCCTAAGCTGTTGGTGAAAATCTGGCTGCTGATTTTGTACTGATACTCTGACTTTTTTACTTGTACTTCTGGATCTTGACTTGCAACTAACTAAAGTGGGTGGAGAAAGTGAGAAATGAAACTCAGAGGAGCTGTTTCTGTGCTGTCACTGTGCAGGCGATTTCCTTAAATGCCAGGTTGGTGCTGCAGTGAAAGGAGATGGTATTGACCCATGAGGCCACAGCCTTTCACTCTCCTTTGCTCCATTGCAAGCTTCCATGCACTGCACTAGAAAACTCATTCAGAGAAAAACAACATGAGATTTTTTTGGGGGGAATGGCTATTTTTTGGAATGGTTTTAACCCAGTAAGCTCCCTTGTCCAGCATACCTGCAAGCTGTTAGAGTACTTACACCTGAATGTGGGGCACTGGAAATGAGAGAAAAAAAGTTTTGGGATCCTTTTAGGACATTACTGACTTGTACTAGTTTAAAGGATTTGTGGATTATGTTACTTCATGGCTATGGTGATGCTGTGATAGCTGAAAGGAACCTTGTCTGAGTCAGAAGGGTTGAAGATAGTAGGGTATCAGAAGGAGGAGAAAAAATGAAGGAATTAAGAACTGGGAAGAAGAAAAACACAGGAGGTACTTGTAGCCAATCAAGTCTGTGATTGCAGACCCACTCTGGGAGGAGGCTGTGCAGACAGTACATAAAACTGAGTCAAGAATACAGAATCTGGGCAAGATGTCCTGGGTGGGAAATGAGCTGACTTCAAGGAATACCTTAAAATTCCTTGATGCACAGGGTTGTTTCTAGTGATTAGTACAGGCAATTTTAGCTTTGTTTTTTGTTGCTCAAGTGTGGGCATATTTTTGCTTCGTTGATCAAATGCTGGAGTACCACAGTAGAGATGTTACTTCATTTTAGCCATACAAGGATGCATGTGGGGGAGAGGAATGGAGGGAATTGTAATTGCTGGTGTTCTGTATCAGGCCTCCCCTGTTTCCTTTCAGAATGACTGTGAATACTGTCAGTACCACATCCAGTCCCAGTACAAGAAGCTCAGCTCGAAGCGAGCAGATCTGCAGTCCACCTTCTCTGGGGGCCGCATTCCCAGAAAAGCTGCTCGGAAAAATCCCACTTTGAAGGAGAGGCTGTGTCAGGATGGCTTTTACTATGGAGGAGTCTCTTCAGCAGCATATGCAGCTTCAGTGTAAGATAAACCATTTATTTCCCTTGCTTTTGAACAGAATTTCCCAGAATTACATATACAAGGGAGCCTGAATCTATGTCTAAGGGAATCTATTCATTTAGAGAATGCCTTTGCCTTAACTACATTCACCAAGCAGGAATAAAGCCCCACACTTGGCATAATCCTACTGGCCACATGGGGTAACAGAGCTGCTGTTTGACAGGAAAATTTAAAGTTGGTACTAAGATGTGGTAAGGATTGTTTTTACCTCTACATTAATACTATGGTGTGAAGCCAGGCAGCTTTATGTTTCAGTAGATTAATGGACTTTGAGATCATGAGATCCCAAGCATTTGAATCTCTGAGATTGGAAGTGTATTTTCTTAGGGCTTATTGCATTCAATCCCAGAGTCAGTGTTTTCTAATACATTGTCACTCTGGGTTAATGAGGAAACAGGACTGACCAAGATCAGTATGCATCTCATAGGGGCCAGGTCCTTTATCCAAATCCCATGAAGACAGCTGTGGAAAGATGAGTCACAGCTGGATCCAGCCCTGTGCTTGGACACAGCTTTTATTCCCTTACCACTGCCCTCTGATACCTGGTGTGACTCCACAGTAATGAAGCAATTCCAACCTCCTTTCCATCCCTGGAACGACCTGTGAGCAAAGCAAAGCTTGGATCTATGTTTAGTTTTCCTGTAATGCAAAGGAAATACATATCTCAACAAAGGGAGAAATAGGAGATCCTAAACATTATGCTGGAATTTGGATTTAGATTCACATCCTTCCAAAAACCAGACAGCTGGCCCTTTAGGTGGCTGGAGTTTTGCTGTAGCACCACTAGCACCACTGTAGCACCACTAGCACTGCTGGGCTAGTATTCAGGCTTCTGTCCTTGCTCTAAGCATGGGAAAACTCTGATATTCTGTATTTGTTTCCTTTTTCTAGTGCTGCAGCTGCTGTGCCAAAAAGGAAGATTCAAACCACTCTCTCCAACCTGGTCGTGAAAGGATCTGATGCAATTGTCCAGGAAACCAGGCAGAAAATTGGTACCCAATTGCTCAAGTAGTCTCTTCACTCTTTAGATGTTTCCAGCTTGATGTGTAGATGTGTCCCAGGGCCCTCTAGTCACTAACTGAACCTGGCAGTCACTTTGCTGCAGAAGGGGTCATTTGCTTCCTCAGTTGGTCAAAACTCCTCTTCCCTCTTGAGATCACAGTTTCAAGGCAAATGTAATAAGCAACTGTGTGGCTTCATGCATCTTTTTTTCATCAGTGCCCCCAAATTAAGTCTCCTGTTCTGTCTTTGGACAGTGACAGAAGATCTTTGCCAGATTAATGGGAATTGGAAGTTTTAAGAACTTTGAACCAGAGGATTTATTTTATTTGATTAAAATAAATTACTTCTGCCACCTTGAAAGCTTCTAAGGAATACTAAGTATAAATCAGTCAGGTCTGCAATGCAGGCCACCTCCTGAGAACCCACCTTGTTTCTAGTGCTTTTCTTTTGTGTCAAAGCATGTTCCTTTTGTAGCCCCTGGGATGTCATCAGTCTCCTCTGCCTCTGTTTTGTTTCTGTAAAGCTCTTAATATTACACTCTCTATGCTCTTTGGATAGCAGGTGACAGATTATTCAAACTGTGTTCTAGGTGCCACTTAGTCTTATTTATATCTTCCAGTTCCATCTGTTGGTTGCCTCCATTTCAGCCAACATAGAGTATGTTCATAGCAGCTTTTAGCTGCTCTGAATTCTGCAGGGATAAAGTGTGGAGCCTTCAGGACTGTCAAGCATCCTAAAAACAGGAATGGTGCAAGTAACACAGACAGCCAAGGCTGATGAGGAACTGATTGAGTTGCTGAAGTGATAGAAATGTCTGTGACAAATGACAAGACCTTGGGCAACCAAATATAATGTAAAGGTTGGTCTTGCTTTGAGAAGTGGTCAGCTGACCTGCAAGGGTTTCTTCCAACCTAGACAAGTTTACATCTCAAAAGCCAGGCCTGCTTCCCTTCCTCAGGTCAAATCTGTTGTATTTCTGCCTCTTCCACTCAGGTGCAGCAAAGAGACCCATGCAGTGTTCTGAAGAATTCAGGGAACTGCTGGCACAGCCAACTTTTGGAGCACGAAACCTCTGCAAACACTGGACCAAAACAGGTATTGTCCTTTTGCCTGAAGGAAGACCCACTCCTAAAATCACTCTACCTCCTTCTGAACAAAGTGGCTTTTTATTTTGCTTTATTATTTTTTCCCAGATGCTGAAAAGAAGCAAGGGGCAGATTTCCAGTCTATCTCTGCTTCAGCCCTGATCAAGCAACAGAAACAGAAATTGCTGGAGGCCAGAAGAAAGCGATCTGAAGAGATTCAGAGGCGGTAAGACACACTGGATTTCACAGGAAGGTTCTGTTACTGTATCCATAAGGATAGCTCTGTTTTCACTTCTTCTCAGCTTTGTGTGATGTCTCTCTCTGATTTTAGCTTTGAAAACAATTGGTCATTCACTCCTTCTGGTGACTTGTTCAAGTCACTTTTGATTTCAGTGACCCAGTGAGTCCTTTACCAGTTTCGTTTTCTTCTCCTGAATGCCAAAATTGCTGTGTGTTTCTTTTAGCAATTAAAGGCCAAATAGTAAAAAATCTTAGTCTGCATCCCCTCCTATTGGTTTCTTAAACCTTTTTATCTGTGATTTATGTCTCTAATTGAATGAATTATTCTTGTCTTGCAAGGTTTCTCCAGAACACAGGTAAAGCCAGCATTCCTGCTCTCCCATCCTCCTCCAGACAGACCTCCCTCCATTCCCCAGTGCCCGGGGCAGAGTTTCCCAAAGCTGCAAAAATGTCAACTCCTCAAAGGCCCAGGCTAGGTACAGGCTTCTCAGAAGGAGAAGATATCCTCTTCTTTGACAAGTCTCCTCCTCCAAGGCCAAAGCTAGACAGCTTGGCAGAAGCCAAAAAGGTACCAGCTCTTTGGGTCTTTAAAGTATTAAACAGAGGTTAAGGGAAATTTGGTTTGTGGTAGAAGAGGACTCTGGTCAGCTCAGTTCTGGTGTTAGTGAAGTTTCTCATTTGTGGGATCACACTGGCCATATTTCAGCACACAGATGCTTGTCAGTGCCAAAGTCCATGCTGCCATCTTGCCTTCAGTCAATCTCTTGAGGGAAGGGATTTGTGCTGAAAATCCCTGGAGAGCTAAACTGTGGCACTGCTAGTGCAGTGTAATGCAGATGTTTTCTGTTTGACAGGTAGGTAAGCAACTGGTTTAGTTGTGTTGTGCCATGAGTCTGGATAATTTTATTTTTCAGCCAAAACAGTCTGCATCTTTTTTGGCAAAAATATGTTCATTGTTTGTCAAAGAAACTTTTCCAGCTAGAATGAGGAGGTCTTAGCATTCTGGGAGTATGAGAAGGAATAGTTGTAATAAATTTTCTATTAGTTCCTAATTATTATAAATTTATGTGGAAATCTCAAGTGAATTGATTTCTCTGAAAAACTTGCTGATTTGTGAAGCAGGTAAAGCTCAGCTGCAGAGACACCAGGCCTGGTAACACCCATGGAGAGGTGATTTTCTGCTTTGGGAAATCCCAAAAGGTTGGGTGTATGTCAGAGCTGGGAATTCTCTTGGGCCTCTCTCCAAACAGCTCCATGCTCAGGCCAGTGGATGTTGTCTCTTCCAGCTGAGAGCCTTTCTCTGCTACTCCTGGGCTCAGGAGCTGGCACCAGACAGGTCACAGCCTCAGTTCCCTGCTCTTTCTGTTTTCCAGCTGGCTGCAATACGGCGGCTGCGAGCAAAGGGCCAGATCCTTCCCAAAACAGACCCAAACAGCGTCAAGAGGAAACGGACTGATGCTGAGGATGTCCTGGAAATTGTTGAAAGAGTTGAGAAAAATGTCGCTCAGCCACAAGGTGCAGAAGCAGACAGTGGTATGTACTGTTAGCTTCTAGAACAGAAAAAAATGTGCTTCTGTCCTACTGACAGAGCAGGAGTTGCTCTGGGCTAAGGACTTAATTGCTGTGCTAAAAAGAGGCCAAGTTAGGTCTGTTTGGAACTTCCAAGGGTTTGTTGGAAAGACAAAAAAAAATCTCTAACCCTATGGAGAAAGTGTGAGATGTAATCTCTGCTATCTCCCTGTGCTCCTCTCTGTTCTCTTTCTTCTGGCACTTGAGCATCTGCAGTGCAAGGCTGACTTCACCAAGGGAAAACAAGAACCCTCCCACCTGGGAAAGTATCTGAATTTTTTGTGGGAACTTGAGTTTGCCTGCTGGTGATTTACTGTGTGATCTTGGATGAATTGTTTAATTCCCTTTAAAGTTTCTTCATCAGTCAGTGAGGGAACACTGCTTGCACTCCTGGGAGCAATGTGAAAATTCCTAGTACAGTGCTTTGAGAGAAGATGCAATCTTATTTTTAAAAAATACTTTTATTTTTTCTGAAGCCATATTTGAACTTGTTTTCATGTTCCCAAACTATGAAAGGCTGCTGTTTGACCTGAACATCTGCCTGAGAGACCTGAGACTTCCAAAATCTCCTGCAGTGAGCAAGTTTAGCCATCAGAGCCTTGTTATGTAGGACTGAACCTTTTTGTCTCCCTAGAAATGGATGAACTGGAACCTGCCCAAAAGAAACGGCGTGAGCAGCTGGCCTATCTGGAGTCAGAAGAGTTCCAGAAAATCCTGAAGGCCAAGTCCAAGCACACAGATGTCCTAAAAGAGGTATGGCCTCCATCCAGCTGTGACTGAGGGCTTAGAACTGGGAGCTGACTGGACTCCCCATGAATTCAGCAAGAAGCAGGCACCCAGCATCTCACGGGCTCCAGCCTGCCCTGAGGAGTAGGGCTGGGTGTCTCTGGCACACAGGGCACAGTGCCTGCATCCAGCACTGCTGCCATAGCCAGGGTAAGGTCATGTTGCCAGTTGAAACTAGTTTTATTCTTGAGTTTGGAAGAATCAGTGAAGTTTCCTATTGGTGGATAACCAAAAAAATCCCTCTGCCTTAAAATCAAATGAGCCACGTGCCTATTTTGTCCCTCATTACTTGACATCTTGGCCACATAAAGCCAGCTGCCACCTTCATCTGGGGCTCAGCTGTGAAATGCCATCAGGTGCCCTGGAGAGCTGAGAGGTTGGCTTTGTCACACTGGGGGTCTCTGCTGAGCACTTCCCCAGGGTTACAGCACCTCCAATGGCACAGGGCTCTTGTCTTGGACACTTATTGACAAGTCATAGTTGTTTTAAGGTCTTCTGGGGAGTAATATTTTGGCTAAGAACCCATTCCATTCATTCCATCTGCCTACCTGACTTCTCTCTGCACTGTCCTCGTGGCTATGTGCTCATTTCAGTACTTCCTGCTGTTGTTAACCTTCCCACTCATGCATTTCAGAGCTGGCTCATGTCAGTGCAGTGAGCTACAGCACGTGTACAATAATGGATTGTTTGGAACAAGAGAGATGTTGTGTTTCTCTGCTCCCAGACTGCAGTCTGCTTCAAGCAGGCCTGATAATAATTGGCCTTTGGGCTATTTATGGAGTGGCTTCTCCCCTCTTTGTGTCCTCACAACCCTTTTTGTGTGCCCCACAGGCTGAGGCTGAACTGCAGGAGAAATACTTTCAGCCCCTGGTGAAAAAGGAAGAACTGGAAGAGAAGATGAGGAACATTAAAGCAGTGAAATGCCGAGTTGTGACATGTAAAACAGTGAGTGAAGGGGAGCCAGGGTACCAGCAGGGGAGTGGAACATGGATCCTACAAAATGGTGCAGGACTATCCTGCAGACTCCCATCTGCCACTCTCTTGGCTGTGGTCCAGTGCAGGGATTGATGCTTTGTTCCTCATGCCTGTTGCTGAGAGCAGTTCAGAGTGACTGAGACATGGCAAGGCTTCAGTGCTTATGCCAGTGGTTCCATGGGTATTGCTGTCCTGAATTTCTCCATTTCTTCCATGAAGTGCTTTGTACCAGCACCCTCAGTTCCCCATATTTCATGAAAAAATAAGCAAAGTCCTTGAAAACATTAACACTGGGTGGGAATCCTCTATCTGCATTTCCAGGGATTTTGCCATCTGGAAGAGGATGGGAGCTTTATGACTGTCCCAAATGTGCTGAGAGGAAGGGAAGCATTCCTCCCACTTCCAAAGTTTCAGCCCCTGCTGAACTTTACCTCTTGCTGCCTTCCCTACCTCTTTTGGGTTGCACAGAGGGACTTGTGTCCCATGAAGTGCTGGGAGCAGGACCACAGGGTGGTGGCAAGGGGAGGATGGCATTAGAAGGAGCAGTGACAAAGCCTGGGGTGGTGATCCAACTGCTGGGCTCCTCAGGATGGGAGAGGACAGGGATGCTTTCCTCTGAACATTGAGCTGTTGCCAGTCCCCAGAGCAGGTCTCATACACACTCTCTCTCCTCCCTGACAGTGTAATTACACCTATTTCAAGCCTCTGGAGACTTGTGTGCAGGATAACCACAACTACCTCTGGCATGATGCCATCAAGAGATTTTTCAAATGTCCTTGTGGAAGCAGAGCTATTTCCCTTGACAGGCTTCCAAAAAAGCCCTGCAGGTAAGAAATGAGCCTCATGAAATAGGGACTGGGATTTAGGTACTGTCCCTTCACAAGTAACTTGCTGTGAGTCACATAACCATGTCCTAAAAGGGCAATGGTGGCCCTTGTGCCAAGGAGCATGGGCTGGGTGTGGGGCTACTTCAGGATCCCCTCACCCTGTGCAGCAAACACAGCACAGTGATCCTCACGTGCCATCTTCATCTTTCAGTTACTGTGGCCTCTTCAAGTGGGAGCGAGATGGGATGCTAAAGGTGAGTGTGAGTGAGCACCTCAGCACTCTGGCTGCTTCCTGTGGTACTTCTGTCCCCCTCTTTGCTTCTGTGCCCCTGTAAGCTCCCAGCAAAGCCACCAGCTCTGTATTTTGGCAGGTACACACAGGTGCCTGCAGGCTGTGTTATAGTGCACTTCTACTTTTTGCTTTCTGTCCTCAAAACTTTGTTTTATTTAACTGTGGGGAAATGGCATTTGACCAAAGTTGTAAGAATTCAGAATGTCAAGGTCCCTAGAGGGTCTGTTAGTGCTTAGTCAGGTAATTTAGCCCTACCACAATTTCTGCCAGAGAAGTGTTTGGGAGATTCCTACCACACATTTAACTTCTTTTCTCCATGGTTTGTGTTTCCAGGAGAAAAAAGGTCCGAAGATTGGTGGAGAAACGCTTTTACCGAGAGGAGAAGAACAACCAAAATTTCTCAATAGTCTCAAGTGACCTGGAGTTGATTTCTTCCATAACATATGCATGGATTTTTGTGTCTGAAACACATTTATACTGGACTGCTAAGAGGATTCAGGTTTTAGTGATAAATCAGTAGGGGAATCAGTTTTTGATGAAAGGATCATCTGCCAAGGGTCCACCAGGCTGCTGCATGGATATGGAACTTTGTTCTTCTTTTAATTGACTGAAGAAGGCTTCATGTGAAAGGCACAGTCATGCCTGTTCTTTCCAGCTAACAACACAAGAGTGACCTCACTATTAGGTGACAAATCATCATGAATGAGACTGACTGTAGATTCCATAAGCACTTATGAAATTGATACCCTGATGTGTTCATGCCAACCTGTCTTCAGCTCTTGGACAAAAAGGGGTGTGAGAGGGTTGTGGGCACAGAGCATTCTCCATTGGCTTCAAAATTACTCACTCTGAACCCTAGAAATAGATGTCAAACTGCTATCCTGAGTTTCTCCTTGGCTTACCTGTTACAAAACCCTTCCATGGCTTTGGCCCTGCAAGTCAGCAGTGCTTATGCTGGAAACTCAGCACCATCCACACTACAGCGCTCTTGTGGCTACAGACCTGTAGCTCCCACTTTGAAAAACTTTTTAATGAATCTGGCACCACTTTGTGAGTGGTTTTAAAGAGCTGAGTGATTATATTTAAAGGTTTTTACCCTTTTTCTGGGATATTAAATAGGAACAGTAGCTATGTCAGAACAAGTAGGATGAAATCTCCCTCCAAGAGGTGGCTCCTGAGAAATGCTGTCTCCATACAGGCATTTTTCTGATAGCACATCTCTCTTGGGATGCCTGGGGAATTAAACCAGCTTATCCTGGACCTGAGCTTTTTCTTGCCCCTAGCTCATGCCCAGTAGGATCACAGGATATTTTTAAGTGCCTAAACCCCCCCTAACCTTAGTGATTCAATCAAAGTGCTCCTAAACATCTCACATGTCCCAGTGGTCTTGTCAATGTGTCTTGTTTGCTTGCACAGGGGCTGGAAGAGAAATAAGTGACTTCATTTGGAGCAAATGGACAGATTCACCTCAGCATTCTGCAGCCCTCTCTTACTGGTGCTTTTATTGGTGCCCTGTAGCATTGATTTCAGTCTCCTGTTGGTACCATTTGCTGAGTGGGGACAGCATCAGTAACTGTGACATTGCTTGGCAATGTCTCCTGTGGATTCCTCATTCAGAATAAATAGAGTACAGATTAAAACACTCCCTGCCTGGGTCTGCATGGTATTTCTCTGAGGAAGAGGATGAGTTGCTTCCTCAACATCTTTGTTTTCTCACAAGCTCAGTGCTGAATCACCAAAAGGAACTGGTTTGTTGTGGTCTGTTAGTTCAGCTTTCACAGAATTTGCTCATTCAGACTTAACAGGAGTTTCTCACCTGGAGTCCACAAAACCACCATGGAATTCCACGTTGGTCTCAGCCTTCAGGCAGCATGTTGAAAGCTTCACACTTTTGCCAGTTCCTGTCTCTTGGGCCCAAGGAAAGGAGATTCTGAAGAAATTAAAATGTCAAAGGAGGGTTAATGTTTTGTTTTCATAAATGCCCCCAGGACTGGGATATGTAAGACATGTATCTCCATGGGAGTGAAAGCAATGCTTGTGTGCAAAAACAGGGTGAATAAACCAAACAAATTCCTTTCCTTAAGCTCTAGCAGTGAACAAGGAGTGGGGGAGATGGATATATTGGGATTTGTGTGCCTCACTGTTCTGAGATGCTTTTCTTGTGCCAGAGGTTGCACTACCCCCATTTCTGAACACTCTGCTCTAACACCAGGGCAGCTGGGATCAGTCAGGATGGTCACAGCAAGGAGAGGAGGAGAGACTGGCAGGTGCTTTGCCCAAAGCTCTCCAAAATGAGCTTGGCCCAAACATCCTGCAGGACCAGCAGTTGCTGGATTTTTGGGTGACTCAGCTGCAGCTCCCCAATGTTTGCCTCAGACCCAGCACCTGCCTTTCCAGGAGTCACTTGGGTTATTCAGCCAAAGAAGCCACAACAGAATTTCTGAGCCACAGAAATAATCCCGTGCAGCCATTCAAGCTGGTTTTGCTACAATTTAATCTTTATTTCAAAACCAAAATAAAATCCACATTCTCCATCAGCTCTCCCAATCACTTCCCATGTAAGCTCACACTGAAACTGATTCACTGGTTGATTTTGTGCAGAAGAAGGATGTTAAAAACCTTAAACACATAATTACACATGGAATTTTATATTAGTATGATTTTACCAACTATATTATTAGTAACTTTACATTAATAAAGTATCAGCCCAAAAGCATATCAAGAGAATGACTAGAAAAAATAAGTAATGCACAACTCACCGTATTATTAGTAGGTAATCATTTGATTACCTAAACTAGCTGCAGCAATCTGATTCTGTAGGTCAGGTTTTCTTTGAAGTCCATCAGGTGTTCAGCCTTGCTGCACCTATTTTGTATTAGCATGAAATACTTTTGTAATGCAGCATTTGGGGCAAGTTCCTTATACAGGGGGCAAAAAGCACATGAATCTGGCTCTTAGACACAGGTTTCCCATCCTGGTCTTTGGAGGTCACTTTAAAGATTGATTCTTTTTCCTTACACTACCTTTGCTCATTTCTTCCTAGCTACCTGCATTTAAAAAACTCACAAAACAGCAGCAACAACAAAGCCAGAGAACAGCATCTTTGAGTGCAGTGTTCCCTGCTTCTTGCTGGTATGAGCAGATCTGTTTGGCCATAAAAACACCCATTCACTTATTCACTGTCTCTTCAAAAGTCTCAAACAGAAATGTACAGACAACACTAAATGAAATTAAAAGCTACAAGCTCCAAGGCACAGAACCCTGCTTGGTGTAAGCCAAAAGGCTCATTGGACTGATGTGGTGAGCAGAGAAGGCATTCAGATGGGTGTTTTATAAACTATGTCCTCTTCTTACAAATCCAGTTACAGGGATTCAATAACAGCCTCTCCTATCTAAACACCTGCTGGCACAAGCTCGTCCTACCTGGGTTGATTTCCACTGAAAATACAGCAAAGAGCGTGGATGAAATCAAATTTGGCAGCCCAGAGGTGGGAACAGTGATGAGTAGAGCTGGATTTGCAGAGCTCCTGGGCTGATTTCCAGGGATGTGAATGGGCTGTCTGTGGAGCAAGGGTGCTTCTCCAGCACAGGCAGGCAGCAAGAAGCCTTATCAGCAAAAAGGCCAAAATTACTTGTGAGTTACAAGATAAGGTAGTGATTTAAGATTAGCACAAGGTCTGGAGCAGAAACAGTTTTATATTTTGCATGTCCAAATTCAATTACTTCTTTCTCCAGCTGCTCTTGGATCATGTTCTTAACATCCCTGTAGTAGCACTCTAAGCTGGTGAGGTGACAGCTGTGGGAGGACACTGGGCATCACTCACTGCCACTTTGATTATAAATGACTGCTGGAAAAGGATCTCCCACATCCCAGATCAGCTTATAACGTCAAATCTACTTTGAAAAAACTATAATGTAGTTAATTAAACTTGCTTTTCCTCCCCATTTCTCTTGCATGAAGTAGGACTTTGATCTACAGCACCAGAAGCCAAAGCTGGGATTCAAAATCCTTCCTTTGGCACCTACCCAGTGTCTTCACATCAAAGCGCTGAGCTGTCAGCAAGGTCAGGAGTCAGACTAAATCTGACATTTCTGAACTGTTAGTCTGGAAAATAGCACATAAATTCTGAGCAGAAGATCTTCTCTGTGTTTATTGTCTTTTGCCAAGCTCCAGGAAGCCTTTGTTTTCAACACATGTGAAATGTCAAGGCAGGAAAAAAAAGTGTCTGAAACACTGGGGCTTCGTGCAACTGCAGATGGCCAAATAAGCAGCCAGATGTCCAATTTTTACATGGTCCTTTTTGAAAATTGGATGCTGCTATTAAAAAAAAATCATCCAAGAAGGGCTAACATGGTTAAGCTCCTGCAGGAACACGAAGTTAGCTGGAAAGAAAGTTTTAGATGTAAAATGCTGTTGCATCAATTTAGGAGCATCAATTTAGTACCTCCAACATGTGAACCTGAACACCTACAGCAAACCAAATTATAAGAAAGATCCCACCAAGCCAGGGCTAAACTAAAACACACTATTACCAAAATAAATATTTTGCTTTTAATTTGATTCAATTCAAGCAACTTTTCTAATAGGGTAAGGGCTGATTCACAAAAATACCCAGCAACCCAAACATTTCATCAGGTTCTGCATTTCCCTGTCTCTTGAAGCTCTGCCTAACGGATTTGGAAGTTTATTTCTCAAAGGTATTATTGCTACAGAGGAGACATCCAGCAACACCACACATCCATTCTGGGAGAATCCAGCTTCCCCCAGCTGTGTTCTGCCCAGCAGAGGGCACAGCCTGCCCCAGGGGGAGGTTACCCAGCCAGGTGTGGGAAGGAATGAGGACACAAGTCTCTTATCAGGTGCTGAGTTTGGATGATCTCTGAGGTCCCTAATGGGTTTGTTCTTCTGAAAGAGGCAATTGTAAGCTGAAATCCATAGGCAGAGGTGCATAAATTCTTAAAACAAAGGTAAACTGCTTCCTTTTCTTCTCTTTCCTAGCTATAGTAAGAGAAACTCAGTCTTGAAACTGGGAGTGTGACACCTGTAGCTCTTCTCTGTGGTCACAGCTCCCTCTGCAGTCACCCCAGCTCCACCAGTGATGCCAGACAGGGAAGTCTCTCCATGAAATCCTGTGCTGTGAACCAGACAGAATGCACCAAAAATCCCACGGAAGGGACTCAGCAAAGCCACCAGAGGGATCTCCAACTCACAGGAATCACTCACCTGGGCCCTTGCTCTCCACAGGAGTGATCAGTGCCAGAGTTACAGAGGGCATGGGAAAGCAGGACACCCAAAATCACCCACGGAGCTGGGCTGGGGGGTCTGTCCTAAGTGACCCCTGATCAGCCTTCTTGGTGCTGTGGTCAAACCAGAGGCTGCTGAGAGCTTATGGCTGGCTCCAGGAGGGAACCACAGC